TTTTTTAATTGCCATAGATTTAATATTGATTTAGTTAAATCAATATGAATATGCTTACATACTTCAATAATTAGCTATGATATAACACTAACTTGGTTTTCTTAGTTGAATGAGCATTTTTTWAAAATTTCTGAAGTTAATAAAAAGAGCATTAAGATAAAAAGGTCAATTAGTTTGATTATGCAGTCATCCTTTTAAATAGCRAAGGCAAAAATGACTCCAAAATGGACAGAACAAACTATTCACTGTTTTAAAATCTGGATATTAAAAAATTCCAGGTCATAGATTTAAAATATGATGGGTAATATGATAATTAGAACATGTTTTTATGTTGGTTTTATTGGATCTCCCTCTTTGAAGTAGAGAGTTCTAATATTTTTAGTGAATGCTAAAGTATTAAGGARACAAGATTATGGATAATCGGATCACAGCTGTAACAGCACAATGTAAAGAGAAAAAAGGACAAAACATTATTGTCAGATAAGGATGGAATGACTTAAATAGAGGGATGGATAAAGTGAGTGACAGGAACAATCTCATGGATTACTGCTTTGGCACKAAGACTGGAGTATTCATCTAGCTTGCCAAATAAATTGACCAGAGAAAAAGAGAGTCAACAGATTAACTTCAGGAATTAAGCTTATTAATGGATTTTCATGCAGAAATGTCTCCACCCATCATGATAGAAAGGGTTTCCTTTGCTTTTCCAGCTGCTAGATTTAACATTAAAATATTTCTACATAAAATACTGGTAGGATAGAAACTTTGTTTTTTCTTTCTAGATGAATTCACACTGACCCGAGGCAATACAGTTCTATACCCATTCATTTGGGGCTGATTTATATTTGAACCAGAGCAAGTTGTTTGATTTAATTATGAACTGAATATATTTGAATAGAGATTGCTCATGTTCACAGTATTCTTTCCTTTTTTTCCCCCCTTCCTTATTTAGAATAAAATTTCACGGTTCTATCCATAATTTAAGAGAATGCAAGGAGGTAATTGGAATTGGAGGTAAATTATATTCTTTTGTAGAAAGCATAATTATCGGAAGTTAGTTAAAAACACCTCAGTTCTGTTTTAATTTTCATGCATGGAGCAGTTGTTTTGACAGATGGATGGACTTTATTTTTGTAACCGTCCAGGAAAAGTCTGTGTAACACAGTCTAATCAGTGCTACATATCTACAATGTTTGTTTTTGAATCACTGTGCATTTGGCTCCTATATCTTTTTCTGGCAATAGATATTTTCTTTAAATTTATTTTTTTTCAAGCTAATATTTACATGCATAATTCCTGTATACATTTGATCTGAAAAGACTAGAAATCCTTTAAATATAAGTGTAAATGGCTTGTCACTGAAGATGATAAATCATTGCTCCTCAGGTGTGGCCTTGGATTTTACTGGTTTTAACTGCTTTTGCTTTTATTTCTAACCTAATACTTTTAATACTGTTGATCTGGAGTAAATTTCAGTAAAATAAGGGGTCAATCTGGTTGCCTGACTCTCAGGAAGCCAACTTGTTGCTAAACTTGTCTGCGTATATCAACTTAAATTCCAAAAAGGATCAAGGCTTGAAAAATGGATTCATTTTGAACTGATTACACTGTCTTTATTACGCTGTAAATCCGCYGGTGCTGAGCAAAGCAGTGGAGTAGTTTAATGCCAAAAAGTACATTACATTCTGCGTTTTAAGAAACGTCATGGTTCAAGAAAAGGTCAAAAACACTCTTCTTCTGTCTCTTCAGAGCAGAAATGTGTGAAGTGTGTTTCCTTTTTCTGCCACGCTTCCTTCTTTTTTAGAGGAATGTCCAAGCCACTTCCAAATAAAATGAATATCCTGTTTTGGAACACTCAAAAACCTTGGCAGCAACAAACCAAAGAGCGAAGGCAGATGAATGACAGAATTGATACTCTTTTATATAGACTTTCTGTTAAGAACATATCCTTACTAACATGTCTCTTTCAAGTTTTTCCGTTCTTCTCTGTCCAGTTCTTTTAATTCACTTTTCTCCTCCACTGTTGCTGATGATTCTTTTCTTGGCTATATTTAATCAGTTTTGAAAGTATTTCCTTCCATTTCTTTTTTTCCTTTCAATCATCTTTTCCCCTCAAGCTTCCCCTCAAAAATTCTCCCCATTCTAGCCACATCAACCTTCACTTTCAAATTACTATTGAGGTTGCCCCCAGGCATGGCAACCTTACAACTTGCTGCTAATGGGAGAGGTCTGTTGGGAAATGAAGGAAACTGCTCCAGGCCTTAGGCCAACAGGGTGGGTCTAGTTGCTTTGTAACACAGATAGACTGTGGTTATCAGCATTCTCTGTAGAACTCTTTGCCAGGTTTCACAGCTATGGTCCCGTGATTGATTTCATTCCAGCAGCTCTGTAGAAGAATAGTTGTCCTAGTGTAGAGGTTCTTTTTTAACAGTTAATAGAGAACAAACCGGAATTTTGATATTCAGTGTGGTCCAATTCTGTGGCTCTCAAGAACTGGGAGAATTTTTTCTTATATTAATTATAATCTGCTAGTTTCCTTGAAAAGATAATCTTTTGCTAATTAGCTATATCATCTATAAGAAATAGAAAGCCCATAAAATCTATGATATTACCATTTGTAACAGTTGCAGAGGTGGCATAAGCCTTCCTTTGTGTTCGCCAGTATTTGCACAAAGAACATTTCCCCTTTTTTTTGTTGTAGAGTACTTAGATCTATTCTTAAAATTGTAGGAGGCACTGAGGGGTTATTGATGGACATTTATTATTTGGGTTTGTGAATAAAATCGCATACATGTATTTACAGGTATGGTAGGAGAACTGAAATCCTGTTTTTTGTTCTTTTTTTCTAAAATGAACAAGACATCCATCTGGGTTTGCCACTATTATTTATTAGAAGATGCATTTGCTTACCAACATCTACATAGCCAATATCTTGGTTTCAACATATGGTGCTGGAACTCATTATTTATCATCTTAAATACTATAATATTGAGCCCACAGTAAGAAATGGTTGTCTATATGTAACAGCAGAATGTGTGGCCACCTACACATTTTCAAATTAAAATCTGCCTGAAAATGGCTTCTTTGCAAATGACTGAATATTTTAGTGTACAAATACATCTTTTGGTTAAGACTCATGAATGCCTCATTTGTAAATGAGTTTATCAGATCTTTCCTTTCCAAAAGCTGTTTCCTCTGTCTAAGCATTCATGCCCTGTCCTTTTTGGGGAAGGAGGAAAACAGTTATAGAACGAAGAGTTTGTTGCCAAGAGTAGCAGAAGTTAGGTTTTATTTRTTTCACAGTTTTACCTAGGAAGTACCCTGTTCAAAGTGAATAAAGGAGATGCTAAAACCCTTTAAGGGAGGGAATTTTTCCTGTTACAGAACAACTTGCAAAATCAGCTGATTTCAGAGCACAGTGTTGTATGTTGTAATGCCTTACCATAAAAAAAGGAAGGTTCAGCAATCTATTTATCAAACAGTTGAAGAAGTTACATATTTATTCTAGTTAACTCCAACCTTGTCATCATATATTAAGAAAATACAAGGAGTCATAACTTGGAATTCTGATATTTTACTTTGAGTCAACCTAATTCATCTCTAGGAATATATTCAACGGGCATCATATCTTAATAGAAAAGTCAGCAATAGACCACAATTCCTTGAATTTAAATGTCCATCATTGTGTTCAAATTTCACTGTTTGCTCCTTCTTTTGTGAGGCCAAAAGAAGTAAAACCAAAATCATAACCTTCAAATACAGAATACAGATGGCACATGGAAATGTACTCACACTATTAAACACCTCTCTTATAAACTCCAACTAAGTTCAAATGCCCTATGAGCTTGTACTTGAATAGTCACAGGTCATACAGAATGACTTCGGAGGTGAGGCACACTTAGAAATGCAAGGGCAGATCCAGTGCTTTATTATGCTCACCAGCCTTGTTTATGCCTTGTCTGGAGGAATTTTATCTGCTTTTATAGTACATATTTACTTCTTAATTTCAAATGTTTATAGACAAAACTAAGAAAGTTTATGATTGCACTAGTCAGCTTTTCATCACTATGACAAAAATATCTGACAAGAACAACTTAGAACAGGAAATATTTATTTTGGCTCACAATTCCAAAGATTCAGTCTATGCTCTGCTGGTTCCACTGTTCAGGACCTGAGATGAGGTGGAGCATAATAACTGAAGGGTGCAGCCAAGGGAAGCTGCTCAGTTTACCTGGCCAGGAAGTGGGGTGGAGTCTGCCCAAGATGCACCCTTCAGGGCATGCTTCAGTGACCCACCTCCTCCAACCAYACTTCATCTGCTCCAGTTACCACCCAGTTCAAACTAGGATGGACTGATCAGATTATAGCACCCATATTCTAATCAATCATCCCTGAATATTCCTTCATTCATATTGGCGGCACTTTGGTGGTATACCTCATATCCAAAGTATAGCAATGGTCAATAAAAATGATTTTTTTCAATGTAGTTTTTAAAATTWTTTAACATATGAGTACTCATTTGAAAACTTTCAAAATGTATTACTAATGGTGTATATACTGCATATTTAATAGGCCATTTTATCTGTTTTTTTTTTCTTTTTCTAAAATTAAACTCAAAGCTAATATTTTTGCAAGGAAGTTTTAACCATCATTGTATTTATGTAATTGATTGTTTAAATAATTTGCTGTTCTTGCTTCTGGAAAAGTCACCTGTGATTATTGGTTATCTAAAACTTCTATTCCACTATAATATAAATAAATTATAAATAGTTTTAATGAAAGATTTATAGAAGGTCATATTTGTTCCCATAAAAAGAAAGAAATTCTATAATTTCAATGCATGTAATAATATGAGCAAAACAACTGAATAATAAATAATCCCTAAAACGGTTTGTCAAATGGCTGCAGAAAAAAAAATCTGTTCTACATGCCTAGCACTCAGGAGGATACCTCAGGCATGCTGACTGCTAGAACTCACTGGTTTTCCTTTTGTCTTACAGAAAGAATGTGCTAATTTCATCAAGGTCCTTAAGGCTTATAATCAGACTCACTTGTATGCCTGTGGAACAGGGGCTTTTCATCCAATTTGCACCTATATTGAAATTGGACATCATCCTGAGGTAAAACTGGCTTTTACAAAATGGTGTTAGTCTGTGACCCTTTCCTATTTAAATGTTTCATCACTCATTTCTTCAGCTTAATTGGCTTCTGGTTCACTATTCAGTGGTACCTACTTCAAATTCAGAGGCTTTTATTAATTTTAATCTGTGAATACAAAAAGAACAAAACCATCACTCAACAATAACTCTGGAAATGGAGGAAGGATGGGAGAAAGCATTTGTTTTCACCCTGGATTACAGAGTMCAATCCATTTTGCATGTGTAGCAGATGTCAGCAGGCTGAATATGTACTGCTTTCTCCTTCCTTTGTATATTGCCAGCTCTCCCTTCCATTTCCATCCTCAGCCAGAAGTGTCTGCCACCCAGTTGTTTTCTTCTGTCCAGAGATTGAGAAATGATGCCTTACATGTGCACAGTGATGTGATCTCATGTTTGGCCCAAACTATTCACACTGGTATTCTTGCTCAACTAAATATTTTTATATTTTGGTCTATTATTTTGGTATGAAAAAGAAAAAAAAATGTTTCTTTGTCCACTGCTTCTAAAAAAAAAATTCTGGAAAAATTTATCCAGGAAATCATAGGTAAATATAAGTAAAAAGTAAATTTGACAAAACACTGCTAAATGTTGAAAGCAGTTTGTAAACTGAGGTTATCCGTTGCTTTCAATTATAAACCTTTTAATAAATTTTGGCACTAATTCTTAAGAAGAACAAATGTGTTCATGTGGTAAGATAATCATATTTGACAGAATTTTCTTCCAAATTGGAATTCAGGAAAACTCAATCAATAAAGAATTCGTTCACATAATATTTCTGGAATCCTAAATCTAAGGTCTAATTTATAGTTCATTTTAACTTACACACTGGATCTCTTTCTCTAAATTTTCTTGAGGTGTCTTCAGGTGCTCTTTAGTTTCAAAAAAATTAGAAATTGATAGTTTGCATTGTGTTTTCTTTGTATACAAAGGCACCTTACAGATTGTGTTTTCTGGGCTAACACAATTGAATATTTATGTTTTCCAATGAGTCTGGGAAGAATAAGACACTTTCACAAATACTCACTAGTGTAAGCTATGGCCCTCTAGCAGCCTATTCAACCAATGCATTCTTCCTCCCTTCTTCACTGTCCTAGCTAAGAATTTTAAATAAAGAGTAATTTTTAAGGAAAGGAAGTTCTATTTAACCTGCTTGTTTCATGTTGATGAAATTAGCAATGCGTTCAGRAATGTGGCCCTGGAGACATTATACACTTATTTTTTTTTTTTATACATTCTGATTAAATCAGGCTCTCTTTGCTACCTTCTAAGCTTTTTCCTAATAATCATTCAGGTGTCCTAAAATTTGGGCCCAGGGTGATTGTCCCATTTTTCTGTATTGTGTTGTTAGCTCTATAGAACCCCGTTCACATTAAATTGCTCTTTTCTTCCATTTATTTATTTATTTATTTATTTATTTATTTTATTTATTTTTAACACCTGTCAAAAATTGTGAAGTACATGATTACCTGATTGGCAATGGAATCAGGAACTCTTAAGTTCCTTGTACAGATTATTGGGAAAGACTTGGATACTGGTGTCACATCAGGCTACTAGCTATGGAGCACTGAAGAAATCATTTAATCTCTACAAAACTCTGGCTCACAATATGCAAAATAATTAAACAAAACCTTTTTGATCCTTAGTATCCATGTCTTTTAAATGAGAGATTGGCTTATTGCCTCTAACTGCCTTCTGACCCTCCTAGCAGGGTGTGACTCCTTGATGTTTTCTGCTGCAGAAACTCTAATCCCCTTATTGTTGAAAGCCTGTCCTCTGGCCTCAGACTGCAGGGCTTTTGTGCATCCTGAATTCAGTACTAACTGCTTGATCTGCAGCAAGATGTTTCTTTTCATTGCATCTATGTTTCTCATCTAGAAAGCTGTCATGCAAAATGGTCCCCTTACTTGTTGTGAAAGTTAAACATTGTTCAATAGGTAGAGGCTGTGGAAAAGGGGCAATAAATATTAGAAAATATAAATTTACATCTCAGGCTGAAAGCTGTTACTGTTTTTCTTGCTAATAATTGTCATCTTACCTCTTAAATGTCCCTCACTTTATCTGAGGTTGTAATTTATGGCACCATGCTCCCTCTATGGCTGGGTGATTCTGTACTTGTCTTAATTTCCCCCTTTTTAAAATTTGAGGCTTACACAGTCTCAATGATAATTTACAATAAAATGTCACAGCATTTTTGTCATTTTTTCCCATAATGTTTGTTTTTCGGAATTTGCAATTTAATGGCATTGACAGCCTATTTCCTTTTCAACTCCTCAACTGTCCATTGCTGTCTTATGGGTGTGGGCCAGKGGGTGAATGAAGAGGTACAGACCATTTGCCTGGGATCTCCTCCCTTGAAAACAATAAGTAAACAAAGCTTATATCTGAGCTCCTCTGAGATGGGAGATTGGGGTTCAAGTATTTTCTCAAAACTCTAAAACCCAGAGCCTTTGAGAAAGATTCCCCWTCAGAAGCACAGTGATTCTGATTAGCATGAAAACAATAAAATGGRAAATACTGTTCCAGACTGCTTAGGAGGTCAGTAGGAAGATGATTATGCAATTACCTGGGGAATTTGGAGCAGTCTAGACAGGCAATCTAGGAAATTCTGGAAAAGATATTATCAAGATATCTTGTCTAGACTACATCAAATTCAATTTTCAATGCTTAAACTGCCTTATGAGACAATCTGCTTTAAATTGATCTACACAAGTACTTAAAATACTACCCTTGACTTTAAACAATTATGCTGTTTTTGAAGTTGAGAAAAGGATACAATGTATATATTACACTGTTAGAAAAAGAATGACAGTAATGGAAAGCTTGCAAAAGTAAGAAATAAAATAGCTATCAGGAGTAAGGCTGGGATTCTTAGAAGAGAGTTTGTAAAAGCTCATGAAGTTTGAATATCCTAACTCTTATTTACAAGAGGGAGTTTTCAGAAAAAAAGGACATGCCTTCTAAATTCTAGTTTAAAAACTGAATGGGTACTCTGCTGATACCTGCCCCATGCTATATGAAATAATGAAATATGATTTCCTTTTTAAAATTTGGTCCAGTCTTTATATAATTCAAACAATTTTAGGAGAAAAAAGACATTTTGGTTTTTGCTTTTATTAAGACTTTCATCAACATTTTAACATTCAGTTTTTTTCTTTGCAGTTTCTTTTCTAACACTGTCTTACACTGAGTTCCCAAGCTAGCTGAAACCTCTTTGTTAGAAAATAACACTATAGACTTAACATTCTGCATGGCAGAATGCTACATAGGAAAGACATCTTTTTGAAACAAATCAAGATTCCTGACATCATTTAATAGCTTTGGATCTTATAGGAGAAATTAACATTTGTGTTTTAATGATAAACAATTACAAAATACCTCCAAGTTTAGTCTTCTAGCTGTAAAAGTAGTTCTATTTTACTATCTCTAGCATGTTAGTAACAATACATACATTCTTAAAGTGTATTCCAAAATCTTGTCTTGTATAGTGAGTGCCTTTTGACCACACGCAGTATGTCATTGATTGCTGTATTAAACAGATTTTCTGTTTCCTGTGGTACGTTTGGGAGTTGGTAGACATATTAATTAACTCCAGTTCTGTAAGATATGTGTCAATCAATTCTTGGGTATCTGCCAATAGCACTTGACATTGCAGATAACTGTCAATGAGGTCACATACTTCGTACACATGTGTGTGTTTATCATAAAATGCATACAGAGTTCACGGAAGGAATAATTCAGAACTAGAGCACAGATGAGTTTTGAGCTGAAGCTCTCAGCATCTATGCCATTCAAATGAAAATTGTAAGTCATCCTTAAGAGGCAGACTATTCCCAAATGGCTTATAGTATATGGTATTTCCCTTCAAATTTACATCTGTTAATAAAAAAAGCATGAATTTAAGAAGAGTATAGCTTTTCGAAGAAGTCTCTGGATGTTTTCTCAAATTCCAAATGGGCCTCTTCTATGTACTGGCAGGAAATCTAAAGAAAGATGGACCCAGATGAGAGCTGGAAAGTATTAACTCTATAAATACTCTCATAATGTCATGATCTCAATTTATGTCAGAACCAAAGGGACATTAAGAAACGCAATGAGGCTTAATGGCTATCTCTAAGGTCATTTCCACMATGACAACCAATATATCTATATATAAACTGAAATAGTTTGTCTGGTTTTCCTTTCTACCAAAAATAGGAATTTGTTCTTATGTGAAACTTTGAATCAAATGTTCTTAGTAACAATCCCTTAGGCCAGAATGCTATTTAAGTATTAGGGAGTGTTCTATCAACTAACTGATGCACATAGTCTAACCCCTTCTGGAAAATTGCCTCTCTCAATTTATTATGTTATTCAGTTGAGTGGAGCAGAAATTTATTTCCAAGAAGAGATATTAACATAGAAAAATTCAAATATGTTTGTAAAATAATGAGGAATTGCTTGTGGGTACCTTTACAGCTTTCTTAGGTCATACACTGGCTTCTGTATTTTCTTTGTAGTAAGCTAACCTGGGGGACAAAAATCAGTAGTCCTAGGCAATTTCATCTTAGCTGTTCATCATCTCCACCGGAGGYAAGGTATCCCTCATTTGCACTAGTGAAACTTAGTGCAGTGCATTACATTTCACAAATGTAGTAAAAGCTAACTGTTCTGTGATGTTTAGGTTTTTCTTTCCTAATCAGTTGAATACTTGAATCATGATAGAAGATTGACCTGAGTAAGTTTCTATGTATAGTAAACAATGCTATCATTTATATTTCAAGTTATATTTTTAAATGACCTGCTGTTTGTCTTTGAGACAAAGCTCCACAGATCATGAATTCAAAGAGAACTTACTCAACATTTTTTTCCAATTAACTTAGAATTCTGAACTTTAAATATTGTCAATAAGACTATTTCTTTAAAATTAATAAAACTAGTTATCAAGTTAAGAAGTAAGGGGCCCTAAGTTATGATTAGAAACA